CCCCCTCATAATACCAGGTGCACGATGTTGCATGCTCTATGTATGCTAAATGAGCAGCTCAAACTTACGGGGTATAAAGGCCAGTGCGTCAAGCAAGAGGTGTGGAGGTGAGTATCTATCGGGAAATCTATTTTCAGTATATGATAATAATGTGTATGATAATATTTTTAGACTGTTTAGCCTCCTTTGTCTGATGTGGCACATAAGACAGATATATTTTCTTGTGTAGATTGCAGAATGCCAGTTTTTTTTTTTTTCATCACCAGTGGACTGTCCCTTCAACTTGTTGTAGAAGAGCAGATTCTTCACATTTTCATGCCTTTTACCACCATTTGTCAATCTGGTTTAAGACTGGGTGACTCAAGTAGATTTTCTTTTGTTTGTGATACCTTAATGTGTGACTACAGTTTGTAATATATTCTGTCTTGGGTTTTTTTTTGCTTGATTAACTTCTGGCATATTTTTTCTTCCTTTCTCTATAGAACATGTGTTTACTCTAGTACCTGATTTTATTAAACCATGGACTAGTTAGTTTTTTGAAGAATCTTACATCTTGTCCAATTTAAAAGATTTTGACCATGTTTATTCTTAATGGGAAAGGATTCAAAGACATGCCTCCGGATTGCTTCTTATCTGACCAGTTCCTTGTACATAAGAAAGTATCCTTAGCAAAACATTGAGTAACCCTAAGACTGCCTTTCCAAAGTCTACTTCTCTTTAGGTGATTCACTTAGGAATAAGTAAATAATTTCTCACAATGTGTTACCAAATTGTTCCAAAAAATACAGTGAGATTTGTGGTTCTAAATCCTTGAGTTTTGACTGTCCTTGAGAAGGATCTGGAACACTTCCATTGCCATTTCTTCCTGGTCTCTGTTTTCTTTTATTCATAAGCTGATTGATCACAAGCAGATCTTATATTTCTTATACCGAATTGTACAAGGAACAGCTATTATTTTCTGGATTTTTATGCTTTAGATCATATCCTAATGGTTCTTCATTTAAGAATAGAGAATGTTTAGTAGTTATTGGAGGTCAAGGGGATGATTAGAATGTATATTACAAGTGTTTACTCTTTCTTTCCCGTTAATTTCATTTTCTCTTTTTTTTATGCATTTTACTTATGAGAATTGAGTTATTCAAATCTGTTATCTCCCTTTGATTTAGTATCTCCTCACTATTTAAGCAGTTTTGTTTTTGCACTGTGCTCTTCTCATAAGTTTGAACATAAATTTACAGCTGTTCTTAGACATTTGGTTGGTTCTAACTTCTTTCCTAGGATGGCAAGGATCCTGAAAGAATTCAGAATACACTATCACCTGTTACAATTCCTTGTACATATGGGAACCCTTATCAACCAACATTTTGGAAGATTGCAGATTTGATTCAATGTAGGGTTGTTTTGGAATCTCTGCACTTAGAGGCTAGTGATTTCAAAGTTTCTTATCGTGTAATATACTATTTTTGATTGGAACTTAAATGAAGCTCCTTATACAGTTCTGAGTTTAACCCATTTTCTCATCCTTCAGTGTGACGTTTCTCTACAGATGCGTGTTTCTTATAATTGTGCATCATATTAACAATTTCTTTTTCCTAGAACTTATTCTACTTGTGTTGAGAATTGGATAAGAACAGTGTGGTTTGAAGTAACCTTTTGAAGCTTTGTTCTCTGGATTATAATTTAGTTAAAGATGCTTTATCCATGGCATCGGTAGTTTACTATAATTTTTATGATGCAGATCTGATGAATAGATCAATGATCTGGAACTGTAAGTAGCTCAGAAGCTTTATTTCTTTTAGCTTCCAAATGGTGATGGCCTTTATCAACAACTCCATGGCATATCTCCTCAGAATGATTAGCACTTGCTCAAATGTACTGTGCCAAAGAGAGGTGAGTCTGTTCTTATCGGTATATTCACTTTTGAGTATGACATGAGCTTGTCACCTACTGGGTGTTTTGAAACTATTTGGCAGATCAGCTTAACTTAATATCTGAACTGAATCCTACTTAATACAGGGTAGTTTCTTTTCTTCACCTCTTTACATTCAGTCAATTTTTTCAGATTTTATTATGTCTAATAATAAATGTGTTTGTTAATTTTGGAAACTCTGAGTTGAATTTTTTTTAATCTTCATTGTTGGACCCAAATGTTTTTTCTTATAAATTGTTTTTCTATACTTTTTTTCCTCCAATTAATACCTTAGTTCAATATTTTCCAGCTTGTGGGCTTTTGGACATGAACAGGTGCGCTGGGTAAATTTGGAAAAGTTCCACATGATAAGAATAAGAAAACTGAATAAATGAAACATATTATATATATATATATTAGTTTTGTGGACAGAATTAAAGTGTATTCTGTGTTGCTGCTCTTTTGATGTTCAAACATGAGATGGTGCATCACGTTATGCTATAATGGCTTTGTAGTTTATTTAGTAATAAAGGATTGTATGTTGGGTCAAGTTTTCATAAGGTGCTAGGGTGACAGTGTTTGGTGTGCCACATAACACTTGTTAAGGTGAATGTGCCATGAAGAGGATTGGGAAACACTACCATTAGTTCCAATTGCTAAACTTTTGTTATTGTTATTGGCACTTCTGACGCCATTACTGGTTTGGAAACATCTTCTGTATCACTCCAGAAATGTAAATTTTCTGTCACATGCAATAGAGAATTTTTTGACTTGACTACCCTTATAAGATACCTTCCTTGATTCTTTATGAATTCAGCTAGAATTCTTTTCTGACTTCAATGTTATCATTATTGAAATAACTTTCTGTTTTCCTTTTTCTCCTCAGTTGCTTGTATTTTATCATTTCCATTCTGAAAGCAAGTATTTGTCAATTCTACTGTTATAGGTTACTGGGTTATACTAGGATCTTTATTTTTTAAATTCTATCTCATGAACTTTATCTTTTGCAAGTGGTAGGAATTATGGAATAGTTCATAGATTTTATATATGCTATGTTGTGTTCTTCTAATTCATATATTACTCTGGTTTTACAGAGGTCTGAGAGTTTTTTTTTTAACTTTTTGCCACATAATTCATAGTTTTCTGTCTTGGGAAGTTAACTTGTTGCTTTGGTTTATCCATTTCTGGATTCATGCCATTAATGCTATATACTCACTACTTATTCTGAAATACTGTCTGTATACCAAGTTGGAATTTTTTACTTTTATTTTCATCTAAGGGGTGAACACTAGTTTTTTAATGTTCTTGATTCATTTGCTAGTGGGTGATAATTGTTTCAAATCCAGTTTTTATTTCTGTAGTGTGCAAAACTGTAGAGCTCATTATGAGGTATTTCATAGTTTCAGCAAATGTGTGCACCATTCAAGATATTATTGACAATATATTATTATTCTTTTTTAAGCTAAACTTCTAATTGTTTGCTAATTGCCACTTGGACAATAATCTACATGGTACATTACATAATAATGCTTGTATGAATAATTTGTTTAAATTCCAAAATACCAAGTGATGTATGGAAAGAAATAGAGAGAGAAGTAAAAGGTTAAAGATGTACAGTAGGAGAGAGAGACAGTTGATGATCCTTCTGGATTCAACTCCAGTGTGCTTTCCAGGTTTCATTATTTTCTAAAATAAACTAAAAATCGGTGTACTTTATGTATGTTCAAACACCTCTTTCTACTCTTTTGTTCTGAAAGGTACTTTGAGGCTATTCATCTTTCTAGGTAAATTATCACTTGAGGTTTTTTTCTTCTGTCAGTAGGGTCAATTTTAATATGAACAAACAAGAATAAATAAAATCATACCATAACCAGCTGAGAAATCCAGTTTTGAACAATGTCAGTTTGTATTCATCTTGCTAAATAATGGTTATTCAGTGAAGCATTATATGGCTTTGGGTGTAGAAGGGTGTTGTCCAACTATTAGTTTCTAATTAACACAAATAGTTTAAAATTGATGTTATGCTATTTATTTAAATATTTATGGAGTAATATAATTTGTATTTGAAGCATATGAAAAATTTGTTGTAGAGTGTTTTCATTTCTTGTTGTCTCCCTTCCATTGAATAAAGGTTCAATAATCCTAGTTTAGAATATTGCTTATTATAACTGAGTTTGGAAACTTCTAATTGTATGCATATACATATATAGACAGACACACACACACACACACATAAACATTTATATTCTTTCATTCTAAAAGAAAATTTTAGACTTTTCAATTTTCTAGCTAAATTTAACATTCAGGTGTTCTTCACTTTTTATTTGGACCAATTATAATATGAAAGCATACCTAAACTATAATCAGCTGAGAACTGCAGTTCTGAACATTGTCTCACCTAGTTCAGTGATGACGGCTTTCACTCATTAGAACTTGATATTGGTTTCACAAATTTTAAGTATCCATTTTTAAGACAAGGTGTTGGAAAGGAGCATTACTGTAATATAGTCTTTAAAATATTGCAGTTATATATAATTAAATGTATTTATAAATGATTTTCTGTTGTAATCTTTGCTCTATCTCTATATTAATCTGTGAAATTAGCATTACTATAGATTCCAACTTAAAAATTATTATTGCAATTGTACCATATATTTAAATGGAGATCAATAGCTCTAACTGAAAACAAATTCATTTCACACAACAAAAGATGTATGTAAGGCAAATATATGATAAGTAAACTGATATTGTTCTGTTATTTTCTACATAAGAGAACAAAATCTGAATTTAGTATTATTAGTAGTAGTTTTTTATCCATGTTACTTGTATGTTGATGCTACAAAGTCCAGTTTTCTGTTTTATGAGACGGTAGCGAATTTGTATCTGAGAAGTGTAAAAAATAAACATAAAAATAAGTGAGTAAAAGTTAGGGTACATAATACGTACAAATTGAAGTTTTATTTTCACATTTACAAAGTCAACATAAGTATTTTGTACCAGATTTATGCAGTACAACTTTATGTAAAAAGAAATGTAGGACATACTCATGACTTTATATACACTATCAATAGTTGAATACTTTTTTTTATAGATTCGAGAAGATGTCCTTTCATCTTTGCACAATAACTTCTTGTTAACACTAAATCAAGCATGGAATGATCATCAGACCAGTATGGTGATGATTAGAGACATACTTATGTACATGGTAAGCCTTCATGTTTTTTTTCTATTTCTTCTCTTAATTGTTTCTGGAAAGTTGTGGAAGAATGTCACTGATGTATATTGTGAATGAAATCAAAAGTGTAACATAGATGAATTATATTTGACACTGGCTAGAAATGATTGAGTCCTACCAGTGAAAGCAAGTTTGGAAACTTGTAATTGTATGCATTGTAAAAGTTAATAGCCCATTTACCCAAAATGTCACCCACATATGTGTAACTTTGGAAATATGATTAATTATGCTTTACATATTTTCTCAATCACGGAAAAGATATAATAATACATGCTTCCTGATTGTAATTCAACTTTTATATCAAAATCAAGTGTACTGTTGTCAAATTGTGGTACAATAGTCCCTCTTAGATACGACTGACCTATCTGCCATGATAAAAAAGCTGCAGCTGACAGGATGTCGTTCTTCAAAGGATCAGTAACCAGATAGCGAACGACCAAGTTCAAGCTGTGCCAATTGCTATTCCCAGGGGTTGAGCATAATGGTTTATATACTGTATAGGTAGTCAGATAATGTATAAAATTGGTACACTGTATAATAATAGTTATGATGGATAACAGTTCATTAAAGGTAACTTAAAATTGTTTTGTTTGTGTTTTGTGTAATATAATTTATTCATCAATCACATTTATTTCATAAACATCCAAGTATCACATTTTTATTACATACATATAAAATATTACAAACTGATACAAAATTTGTTTCTTAAAAAATTGTCAATCTTTGTTTTGCACATTTAATGAAGTCACTTTGAATGTTCACTAGTCTGGCAGTTATTATATCAAGAAGTGTTTCATTTTTAGTTTTCAGTACAAGATTTTATTATCAATTTATAAAATAATGTGCAATAAATGTCCAGAATTCTACATCAGAGAAACCGGAAGAAATTTGGAAACCAGATTCACCAAACATAATAAAAATATCCCATGTTTACCACCATTGCAACTCAAAAAATCTACAGTATATCTGTACAAAATGCTGTAGTTTTAAACAAAGAACAAAACACCGGAAGATACGTATCTTAATTTGGAAACCCTGATGTAGATAGACAAGAATCCATCAAGTAATGTTTAGCCCTTGGTTCTATCTTGTTTGGAGGCTAAGATTTATTATTTACTGTCCAATCAACTTGCTGTGGCATCATAAGATTCTTCCAGCACAGTATATTCTTGACATAGTTATTGATACTAAAGAAATATCATGGATAAGTCTGTTTGTAAGGGATACCAAAGGTCTGATTAAATATAAATATACACCTTCAGATGGTCAGAATTTTTTTTTAATGTGAAAAGGCTTTATTTACAGGAGAGACTTGTTAGACATGTGCAGAGATCTTAGTTAAAACATTTATGTTTTTCTTTGCAAATAACACAAAATATACCTTACTAAGTACAAAATATCAATTATTTGATATTTTCAATTAAAAATAGTTGAAACAGAGTTGGAATTACAATTTGTAGTTAAATTGTAAAATATATTATGCAAGCATGCCCTCTTAACTACAGAGTGCCACTCACTGGCCCAGATAAGGTTAAGGAATGGATTCCAGAGCAAAATGTGCAACTCCCCATGTGTCGCATCAAGTGGAAGATAGATTTAATTAGCATAAGTAACATTTTGAACTTTGAAATGTGAGTTTGTAGATGGATGTGCTATTCATTGACAATGTGATGCTCAGTACAGTTAAAAAACTATTGGTTCTTTTAAAGAGGAAATCAAAGCATTTTTTGACTGTGGTGTGGCTGATGAGTCCCACAAACTATCAGCTGAGTGTATTCTGACACATTTAGAAGAAGCCCACCCACATGAGTACAAACTTCCATCAGTTTCTTAGATAAAGAGATATGTGTGTGTGCTATTTTCTGGTAAAACTAAATTCTCTTAAGAGTGACAAGGCAGGGCTGCTAAATGACAGAGGGTTCATTGAGATATCTACTGCAAAATAATTCTGTATCATCTGATTAACTGGATTTGTAAGAAATAAAGAAAGAATGAACACAAATGCATGGTTCCAATAAATAATCTTCATTTAAGACAAACAGTTAAAATGTGTATTTTGTTTCACGAAACAGTGTCCTATACTAGAGAGTTAGCTCTGAAGATACTCTGACTTGGTATCTCTAGTTATGGACTGTATCTCCTAAGATCATATTCCAGACTGAATAAATTTCATGTTAGTCACTTAAGTCATTAATTAAGACTTGTATGTATGACTTATGATGTTTGTATGACTTACCAAGAGCAACTAGTGCTACTCACATGGTTGGTCATTCCCAATGACATACAAGAGAGGTCATTACCTCAAGAGGTCACTTAGTTGCTAATAGAAAAGATACCTAACATATCTAACTTCACATTCTACTAGTGATCTCACAAGTATCTTTCTCATAGGAAGAAAAAATTTGCTATTTTAGGTGAATGACAAAGAACAGTAGATAGAACAAAAGGAACTTTATGAGGTTCTTGACCAATGTGTTATGTAGAAAAACATATACTATGTTTACATACTAGATGTGACCCAGCTGTTTGCTAAGCATTAGGAGCAGTAGCAGCAAAAGTCTTTAACTACTTGTGACACTAGCACTGCAGCGAATGGTTGGTGAAAATGTTATGATTAGTGCAGGGTAGAATGCAGGAGTTTTTACCAGTGACATAGCACATAATGAAACTGGGACCAGTTGTCTGGTACCAAACTTGGAAGTTTGCACTTGTGGCACCATATTGCCAAATTAAGTTTGCACTGACAATAATAACTGCTAATTTGTCAGTACCAAGGGTTAAAATGTTGAGGTGTGGCCAAGGTATACAAGGATGCTCTACTTAATTTTTCCATAGAGCTGTCTGAAAACTGGCATCTCGGAGATAGTCATTTGGTTGTAAGCGCATTCACCATAACACTGGTGAATCACTCCATGCACACTGGCACATTTGATCAAACTCGTACTGCTTTAACTTTTTACTGTGGAGGTCTAATGCATATTTTGTTTGTTTATTGTATCAGTACAGTTCCCAAATTATTAGACCCTAGGAGCTAATAAAGCCCATACATTTTGTTACAAAACACGTAACTTTTGTTTTGCTTACATTAGTATAATATTCATTCATGTTTTGAACTCAAAACAACATTGATGTTATATTACTTTCAAATATGCTCTAATCTATATATATACATCTTTTCCTGGTCATGAATATTGCTCTGAAAAGTGATTACCATCTTGACAGTGGTCCTGCATTTGTAGGCCAGTATCTCTATGACCATAAGGTGCACCAAAAATGTTCTTAATGCATTTTTCTTATTATATCAATCTACAATCAATGTAAATGTCATATACTTAAATACAACAGTGTAATAAATCAATTTTCAGAAGTCAGTCAAAAGATGTAAAAATAAAATGCCTGTTTTTTTGAATCAGCTGTTAAATGCTTTCTGGTGAAGTGAATAATGCTTAAATTGTTTGGTTGGATAGCAGTCATGTATATGCTGTAAGCCTAATACTAAAAACTTGAAATTATTTATATTTCATCCTGTATGATTAATTGCCACAATATTTCACAAGTAAGATAGAATATGCAACAAATAAGAAGCTGGTGTTAATTCTTATAGAAACATGTAACACTTGTGAACAATACAAATTAAGTACTTGTATGAGCCAGAAAAACAAGCCAGTTAGGTATCTGAAAAACCAAGAAATAATTCAAAAACTAAATCATTGGAAGTGTGAATTATGTTATTATGCCCCTGGATGTCAGGTAGCTCTAATTATAAGCCTAACTCTTGAAACGGGTCTTTATGTCACATTGTGATGAAATTCTTTATAGCTTAGTCAGAGTAACTTCACTGCACCAAAAGAAGTATATACACTCAGTTAAACATGTTCAGAATGACCTTTACATTTTCCTTATTGCTGGAAATGCAATTTTAAATCAAACAGTGATATTCAGTTACCAGCAGTTGTCATTTTATTTAACATTTTTTAGTCTTTGCACATTTATTTTGAGATTTACCATTTTTGTAACATACTTTGATCCATTGAGCTGGGACCAGGAAACTTCTCTTTTCTTCTTGTGTTTGTTCTTTATTTTAATTTTTTCTTTCTTACACATTTCTGTCATCACATTTACTTCAAAAGTTGAATCTCTGAATTTTATGGTTCTTTAATCAACTTCTATTTCTGAGATCATAGAACCATTCTGCACTGTGGCTCAGCAAATTCTGATATGATAATTCCCTCATTTCACAAGATTAGCTATTCTCACCCGATGCTGCCCTCTATATGCAAATTTTTTTCTTTAGGCATGACACAAGCCTTCTGCACCCTCCCTATTGAAATTGAATGATTCCAACATGTCTCTCATGTAAATCATCATGTGTCACTTCTCCACCAATAGGAGCATGACGTACTCATGTGACGAATGAGACTCCCTCTATATGCCTCTACCAAACTATCACTTCTCGTTTGGTAGCACTTGTGCTTGGATGTGTTCCTTTTTGTTTGTTTAAAGATTCACGTTTGTCTTCACAAAGCGGTCTTCATTTATTTTCATTTTTAGTTTCTATTAAGACTGTTTCTTAACTTCACTTTAATCCCAGTTTATTACAATTGCATTCTTATTTATACTTTCAATTATTGGTTAACTCTTCCTTATTATGAATTCTGAAGTTCATGTTACCACTTTGGGGATCACACCTGCTACTAGCATTATGTCTCAGGCCTCAGGTGCAGGTGACTTGGTGGGGGATTTGCCCATGTTTATTTGCCAGGAGATTGAATGTTACATAGGTCAACCTCTCCAGTCCTCGCCCCACTTCCTCCTGAACAACTGAGCCTGTTCAGATGGATGAGGACTTAGATTGCCCATTACCACATGCCCCACCTGAGGAGTCAGTTAGGCCTAATATGGTCTTTTTGAATTTCGTTTCTCAGGTATGTGAAGTTTTATCCCTTTCCCCTATTCCTATGAACTGCATC